CGCCAGTCCGCGGTGCCCGTGCGGTCGCCATCCTCCTGCGGCGCGGTGGCCGCCAGGCGCGTGCCGTTGTTCTGGAAGTACTGGGTGACACTGGTGACAGCGCAGTCGCCCAGGCCGGGCTCGGCGGGGTTCAGGGGCGCGTAGCACACGTCGCTCAGGGTGACATTCCTGCCCGAGCGCGGCGCCCAGGCCGTGGTGGCCGCCAGCGTGTCCTGCAGCTCCAGCAGCGCCCGCAGCACGTCCTCGGCCAGCACCCCGCTGAAGTTCTTGGTCCCCAGCAGCACGGACTCGTAGGTGGACCCGGGCCGGCCCGGCGCGGTGACAATGACCTGGTTGGCGCGCAGGAACGGCCCGAAGTGGCGGTCGTGGAACGCCTTCTCCTGCCGGGCGCGGCTGGCCGGAGCTGACCACAGCTCCACCGGGTCCGTGGTCAGCTGCAGCCTCACCAGCCCGGCCGAGAGCCCTCCGGCCACCGCCGCGGCCACCAGCAGCACGGCCACGGGATGCGAAGCCACTGTCGTGCCCCAGCAGCGGAACGCCCGCTCCAGGGCACCGAGCCACGCTTCGCTCGCCCGCTCCGAGCAGCCGCGCTTGCCCGGCGACACCGGCGACACCGGCTTGAGCGCCGCCTGCCCGCGGCCCCTGCGGCACAGCACGGCCRCCAGGAAGGCCACGGCGAGCACAGCGAAGATGAGCACGCTGATGACCAGGAATCCATCGGCCTTCCCCAGGCGGAAAGGCGGCGGCGGCCCCGAGGGCGGCACCAGCACCGGGCACGCCAGGGCGCAGTCCTGGCACGAACAGGGCTCCTGGGCAGCGCTGGGCGCTTGGTCACAGCGCCACACGGGCGCGTCCAGCGGCTCCACGCCCTGGCCGGGCTCTGCGGCATCGGGCAGCAGCTGGAAGTCGATCTGCAGCGGCGCCAGCCCGTTGTTCTTGTCGCCCTGGAAGTCCAGCCAGCGCTGCGCCGTGCACAGCTCGGCTCCGTAGCGGCCGCACATGGTGGCGATGGCGAAGCCGCCGGTGGCCGGCAGCCGCACCCCGCGGCACGACTGGAACGCGGCCTCGGCGAAGCGGCGGCGGTAGAACAGGCGGTACTCGAGCACGGCCTGCAGCGGCTCCTGCCCCGGTGTCGCCGTGTAGTTGGTGACGCGGGTGACCTCGGTGAACAGGCTCTGGTCCGGGCTGCAGATGTTGTGGCAGTAGAGGTTGGCGAAGTTGCGGGCGCACGCCGGGCACCGCGCCAGCACCGTGCCCGACAGCCCCACGCTGGCCTGCAGCGCCAGCAGCTGCGAGTACGAGCAGCACACGCGCGCCGTGGCGTTGTCGCCGTCGCCGGTGAGCAGCTCGGGGCACACGGAGCGCAGCAGGGCCAGCAGCGGCCCCCGCGCCTCCCGGGCCGGGCTGTTGGACAGGCAGGGCACGGCCGAGGGCAGCAGCGACGCGTTCACCTCGGGGTTGCGGCCGCACTCGCCGTAGAAAGCGCAGAAACCGGCGCGGTGCGTGGGGGTCAGCGAGGCGCCGGCCTGCGGGGACAGCGGGGTGGTGGCGCGGGGGTGGCACCGCGCAGGGGACACCGCGGGGATCGTAAGAGCGGCCCCGAGTGGCAGGGGGGGGCACGGGACTGTCCCCAAGCTCTGCCACCCCCGGCCACTCCAAATGTCACCCGGGGGCACCACGGCAGTGTCCCCACGCTCTGCCACCCCCGGCCACCCCAAAGGTCACCCAAGTGTCACCCGGGGGCACGGGACTGTCCCCAAGCTCTGCCACCCCCGGCCACTCCAAGTATCACCCAAATGTCACCCGGGGATATCACGGCACTGTCCCCACATTCTGCCACCCTCGGCCACCCCAAAGGTCACCCAAGTGTCACTCGGGGGGCACAGGACTGTCACCGCGCTCTGCCACCCCCGGCCACTCCAAATGTCACCCGGGGGCACCACGGCAGTGTCCCCACTCTCTGTCACCCCCGGCCACCCCAAAGGTCACCCAAGTGTCACTCGGGGGCACGGGACTGTCACCGCACTCTGCCACCCCCGACCACCCCAAATGGCATCTGGGGGCATCATGGCAGTGTCCCCACGCTCTGCCACCCCCTGTCACCCCAAATGTCACCCAAGTGTCACCCGGGGGCACGGGAGTGTCCCCAAGCTTCGCCACCCCCGGCCACCCCAAATATCATCCAAGTGTCACCCGGGGGCATGGGAGTGTCCCCAAGCTCCGCCACCCCCGGCCACCCCAAGTGTCACCCAGTGGGCACCACAGCGCTGTCCCCGCGCTCTGCCACCCCCGGCCATTCGAAATGTCACCCGGTGGGCAGCACACCGGTGTCCCCATGCTCTGCCACCCTCAGCTACCCCAAGTGTCACCCAAATGTCACCCGGTGGGCGCCACATTTGTGTCCCCTCACTGTCACCCCTCAACCACCCCAAATGTCACCCAAGTGTCACCTGATGGGCACCACAGCACTGTGCCCATGCTCTGTCTCCCTCAGCCACCCCAAATGTCACCCGGTGGGCACCACGGCATTATCCCCATGCTCTGCCACCCCCAGTCACTCCAAATGTCACCCAAGTGTCACCCGGTGGTCACCACAACGCTGTGCCCATGCTCTGCCACCCTCAGCCACCCCAAACATCACCCAAGTGTCACCCAGTGCACCACAGCACTGTCCCTGTGCTCTGCCACCTTCAGTGACCCCAAGTGTCACGCAAGTGTCACCCAGTGTGCACCACACCAGTGTCCCCTCACTCTGCCACTCTCAGTCCCCCCAAATGTCACCCAAAGGGCACCACAATGGGATCCCTGTCTCTGCCACCCCGGCCCCCCCTGAATGTCACCCAAAGGGCAGCACAAGGGTGTCCCCAGCTGTCACCCCCCGAATGTCACCCGAATGTCACCCAAAGGGCAGCACAAGGAGCGGCTCTGCCACTCCCCGCTGCTCCAAGTGACACCCGAACAGCATCCAAAGGGCACCCGGGCTGTCCCCAGCGCTGTCACCKCCAAATGTCACCCAAAGGGCACCCCGGGCTGTCCCCAGCGCTGTCACCACCAAATGTCACCCAAAGGGCACCCCGGGCTGTCCCCAGCGCTGTCACCTCCAATGTCCCTCTGAATGTCACCCAGT